GCTGTGACTGACAGCAGGCCTTTGGCCACAGGGTGTCAGAGGGCAGTGCCTCCTGGGGGCTAAGTGGCAGGGCCCCGGCTCACCTGCCACTTGCCAGCCACTCACCAGCCACTCTGTGCTCCTCCAACACGGCCTCCCTTGGTGACCTGGAGAGGGCTGGGGTCTGGGAGGACCAGGCTCCAATGGCTTTAGGAAGCTGTGAAATGCCAGGACATCAAAGCAGAAGGACCCGTAATGACCCTCTAGCCTCCTGGCCTCAAGCTGCCTTCATCAGAGCCCTAGAAGTCTCCTGAGAGCTCAGTGGCCAGCTGGTGGACTGTGGGTAATGAAAGGCCAGGAGGACTGAGGTCCACACCCTCTGCCTGATTCAGAGTTGCTTTATTTTAATCTGTTATGTATTTGACTTCACAGAAGACTTCACTTGACACAGGGTCTTCAAGAAAGGTTTGGAACCACTGGTCTCACCCAGGACTTTCATCGTTCATGTGGGAAAATGGGGGCCGATAGAGAGGAGTGGGTGCCATCTCAATACCACACCCCTCACTCCTGGCCCCAGGTCCTGACTGGGAGATGGCCCATTCCAAGCCCAGCCAAGGGGAGTAGGCAAGGGGGAGCCCCAGGACCAGCAGCAGGTTCAGCCCAGGTGAGTGGGGATGAAGACAGCCCTGAGCTCCCCACCCTGACCCTGGAGACCGCCCACAGCCATCAGCTGACCTTGAACGCCAACCCACAAGGTCCCACTCCCAATCCTGTTCCCTAGAAACATGCCTCCCCGGCCCGCCAAGTCCTTGGTCCCTCACCTCCTAGAACCAGGAGGCCGTTGCAGCCCCGAGACCTTTCAGAACGGGGGACGGGCTTCTCCGTGCGCTCTCAGCTGGTTTTGCCAGGTGACTGCGCCCTAAGAGTGACCCATGCTGCAGCAAGCCCACCGTCAGCAGCCACCACCCCCAGGCTGAGGGTCTGCCCAGGACGCCGGCCAGCGAGCAGCCCCACGTGGGACAGTGCGCAGGCCCATGCCTCCCAGCCAGGCTTTCCACTCACAAGGGGCCGCCACACCGGCTCCCGGCCGGGCGGTGCCGAGCTCCCCCCACCTCTTGCAGCACCTGCTGGAGAAACCCAGTCGCACGTCCTCCGAGGCTGAGTGCAGAGCCTCCACTGAGGCCTTGGGGGCACAGGAGAGCAGTGACTCCAGGCTCCTTTCCAGCCTGGAACAGGGTCAGCCCCACGCTCAGAACCTGAGTCGGGACCTTCCTGGAAGTGCACAGGTGCAGATAATTCACGCGTGGGGGAACGGATGGCTTGTGGCAGTCAAAGACACCAGACTGTCCGGTCACCTCGAGTCCCCGTGTTGCACCCTTCCTGACAGCGGTGGACAGGCTTTCCTTAAGGCACTTTGTGGGCCGGGTCAGATGAGTGACCGAAAGCTCCGGGGCCAGGGGCAAGGGGCTGTTGACATTGTCCCAGACTGTCCTCTGGGCCCTCCAGTCCCTGGTGTGCTGTCTCAGGCTTGCAGAAGTTCGAGCCCATCACTCCTAACAGACCCGAGCTCTTGGAGAGCCAGGACCAGGTCTAAGTCGATGCTGGAAACTGCCCCTGAGGACGGGTCCCGCTACAGAGGAAGTACCTGGTGAAGGTTAGTGGATGAACTCGTCACTACTCGGTAGGGTCGCCGTGGTGTGCGGAGGTTGATGGTGGGCGCTGTGATGCCCCCATCCTCTGCTTTTCTCTCCCACAGCGTTCCATGGCTGCGCCGGGAGGGGCATAACCATCGACAAGGTCACACTCATCCGCCTGGTTCGCCGGTGAACCACCGGAGCCAGCTAGAGAAAATGCCCACTTGTCTTTAAAACAGACTGGCTATAAATTGGCCTTCAGAGCCCTCCTGTGTGGGAGGAGGAAAGGGAAATGAAGAGGCGGGTGGACCCCGCTCGCCTGGGGGGATGGTCGCCCACTCCAGGTCGTGGGCCTCGCCCCGGAGGGGTGGTCGACAGCCCGCCGGGCACCGAGTGTTAGTGGGGCGTTCACCTCCTGATGGTGCTCACCCGTCCTGACACACCCTGCTGCTGCCACCCCAGGGGGCCGCCAGAGCAAAGGGAGGTGAGGCCGTGCTCAGGACGGCGAGTCCGGCCTGGCGCTCACGGGAGAGCCCTCCACCAGGCCCCCAACGGCCACCACCGTTTCTGAGTGAGACGGCTGAGTGATGAACCAAACGGGGTTGGGGGCTTGGCGGGCAGGGTGGGGAGTGGTGCCAGGTCCTGAGGCACACCCGTGTGACTGCTCCAAGCTCCGAATCGCAGGGTGACTGGAAGTGGGAGCCAGGAGAGGAGGGGCCTTGGTAGCCAATTTAAGGAGAGTCAGCTCCATTTTTAGGGCAACAGGGTGTTTAAGCGGGAGAGTGCGGTGGTCAAATGTGGGTGTGCAGAGCTCACAGCAGCCAGTGAAGTGGCCCTCGGTCTCACCCACGGCACTTCTGGAAGGAGGTCAGGAGGCCGGGTCCTGAGGGCCTGGCAACTCGGGACCAGCAACTTCAGTGTTCCTGTGAAGTGCCCCCAGCCCCAGGAAGACCTTGGGACAGCTTCACCAAGCTCTGGAGGCAGACCTCCTGGGTTTAAAACCTCAGCTTCATCACTGATTGACTGTGGCTTTGGGCCAGTCACTTTTGTGCCTTGTTCTTCTTGCCTCTGCAACAGGCGCGTTGAATTACTGTGGACGCCCATTAGACAGCTTCACAGATGCCCCCCCACACACACAGCAGAGGGTTGGTGCCCACTAATCCCCTTTTTCCACGAGCTGCTGTGCCCCTGAAAACCCACATCCCAAACAGCTTAGTGTCGAGGTTCCACCTGGAGACACTTCCTCCAGGTGGCGCCCGGGCAGAGGGCTCGTGACCTGCCCTGAGGCAGCTGAGGCTGCTTGGCATCTCCATCCTGATGCTTATGAATGGCCGTTCTGTACCTGGTCTAGATCTGGCAGCCTTTCGGGCAGAGCCCTGGGCAGAGGCTTTGCTGTACTCACTACCCTACCAACCCCCACCTCTTGGTTCCCAGACCTCACTGGGCACCAGGAAGTTGAGGCAGATGCCTAGAAGGGATGTGAAACCGTTAGATGCAAACTGGGCCCCCACCTTCAGCTGCCCCTCCTCTGACTGATGACTCAGGACGGGCTGGGAGGCATCGAGGAGACAGAAATCAAGGGGAGACCGGTGCCCACTTGTCTGTGGCCCTGGGCAGTCACCATCCCCCATCCCCACCCCCGCCTCGTGTGGGTCTCTGTTCTGGTCTGTAAAGTGCTCCGACTACAGGAACTCTTCTGCTTGAACGCTCCTGAATTCCCTCATGGCTAAGAGAAGAATTGGAACCCCAGTCCCCCATTGCACCCCCAACCAAAACCAAGTGAACAAACAACCCAGGCGAGTCAAGATCCCTAGGAGAGGGCCCCACCCCTCCCAAGATGCCTCCAGACTGAGTGAAGGGTGCGTGGAAGGTGCTCCACCAGACTGGGTCCAGCCAGGGTGCCGCTGGGGAGGGCCCCAGACCTGCCCTAGCGGGGGAGGGACTCTGTCTGCCCAGAGAAGGGCAGGGCGGGCTCCGGCCTGGCCAGGTTCAGGGAGTCAGGGCTGCGGCACGACTCCGTGATGAAGCTGCGGTGTCTGTAGAGGACTTGCCTGTCTTAGGTCAGGTCCCCAGGTGCCCCGTCCTTCCCGAGAGCTGGCACCCTCCAGCCAACAGGATCTGCAGGGTCCTGGCTAGGGAGCAACTTCTTCCTCAGGGCTTGACCGGAGGCCCAGAACCAAACTGCGACACTGACTGAGGCAATAAAAACCCAGATCCGTGCTTCATCTCAAAAGTCAGCTTTTTATTATCAAGAGCCAGGGCCCGGGGAGGGGAGGGTGTGGAGCTAAAGCAGCATTGCTCTCTTTCCAGGAAACGTTGCGAGCTGCAGGGAAAGCTCGAGATGTTGCATTTTTTTTTCAACCCAAGCATGTGTTTTTCAAAAATATCATCCTTCCCCACCCCCACCCCCCTGCCACTAATTTTAGACTCAGACCAAAGCCAAGCTACTGTCCTCTGTTTCTTTTGGGAAAATACTATATTTATTCGAGATGCAGACGTGTGTCTCTGAAAACCTCCGATTGCTTCAGCAAAACAAATCTGCTTTAAGACTATACAGAAACCATGATACAAAATTTATTTCATGCTAGAGTCGCTTTGCATAACATTGGGCATGCAGTTTTTACTCGGAAGTACTAGGTTGCATACAATGCCAGGTTGTGCCTCAGTAAAGGTGGGGGAGGGCCGCCCCTCCCGCGGTCCTGATCTTTTGGTGCTCTAAAGAAACACGTGGAAAATCTGTACGGTGTGAATTATTTACTATGAACAATTTGTTATGAAAATTGGTCACACTGGATCTACACGTCGGAAAAGATGGTAGAATCAACCTAGGCTAACTGCTGCCGGGGGTCTCGGGGTGACGTCCGCTGGGTCTCAAGCGTGCCAGGCCGAGGGGGAAAGGTGGCCATGCGAGTTTCCACAGTTCTGTTTGCAGCGAAGTTCTCAGTTTCCACGTGAGAGATGAATTATGAAGGTGAGGTCAATATGACCGATGACTGACCGACTGCCCTTTTGGGAACCTCTCCTCTCGATCTCGTGTATGAAAAAGGGGAGCAGTTTGTTCCCCATCCCCACCCCTCTCCCAGCCCCTCCCCCTCTCCCAGAAATACACAGTTTTCTACCAAACACCCTCACAGTCCGGCTCCACTGCGTGTGAAAGTAAAGAGCTTTGAAAGAAAATAGACTTCTGCTTTTTTTTTCATTGTTGTTGTTTGGGGTAATCATACAGTTGCAGAGGGTGGGTGGGTTTGGTTTGCTGGGTTTTCTGTTTAACTTCATGCAAGTCATGCTAAGGGACCCTTCCACCCACCCCTCCCCGAATAAAATAAAATTTAAAAAAAATGAAAAGAAGAAAAAGAAATCCTCTACGGTCAGTTACCATTTGGCCGTAGAAAAAGCTACGTCCGTCCTAGCACAATGCCTGGGCCACTCGGACTCGTCCGGCAAACCTGCGTGGCGTGAATTTACTCTGTCCGAGGGTGAGGAGGGGCTGCAGGTCCACCCAGATGCTTATTAGCCACCAGTGTCCTCGGCCAAGCCGCCTGGTCAAGTCACTCTCACAGCCTCTGTCGGCATATACTTAGCAATGACAGGGCTTTCTTTGCAAAGATCTGTATGTAAAGAATACAATTAACACTTGAGCGTCTCTTCTTGGCTTTCCCATCCCGCCTGGTACTTAGTTTTTAAGGAAGGAGGAGGAAAGACAGAACAGCCGCATGCAGAGGCAGGCAGATTCTTCTCCAGCTGGCTTGGCTTTCCCATGCAGTGAGCCAGCCTAGCACGCCTCTTTCTCTCCCTCCTGCGGGGGACCGGGTAGAGTCCCTGACTCCTCTGCTAGTCTGCACATGGCTTATGGCCTGGAATTATCCCGAGAAAAGCAAGTCCTTGGCAGCTGTCATGGCTCCGTGAGAGTGGGGCTGAGTGGGTGTGGGCAGGGCACTTCACCCTTGGCGCCTCCCAAAGACTCTGGCCGCCACACCTGGCCTCCGTGGGATTGGGCAGTGGGCACCACCTGTGGACGGTGGCGGCCGCTGGGCAACTGCAGGGAGAGCGGACTTCGCCTGTCTCCCACTCCCTGGGCTTCTGGAAGCACAGTAAAGAGACTCTCCTTTCTGCTCTCGGAGGCCACACAGATTGGTCCAACACTCAAGGAGGAGGAGGCAGGCAGCCCACAGACGCCGGGAATGGTGTGCCTGCTTTCCCCTCCCTCCCCCGGGCTGCCTCTGCTCCTGGCATTCTAGGGCCTCCACTGGGGGGAAAGCCAGTTGCATTAGGCCCATCCATGGAAGGTGCCAAGGATGAGGCCCACCCCCCCACCAGGCCAGCAGCCCTCCGCCATGCAGCACCATGCGGGGAGCACTGTGCCGCGCTGGGGTCCAAGGGACCTCCAGGCAGGGCACGGAAGCAGGGACCAGCCTGGATCAGGTGGGCACACTAAGCACCGTGACAAAAAGGACTTCCCCCGTCTCAGCGTAGGCTGCCTCTCCTGGTTTTGCCCTTGATTTTGAACTCAGCATTTTCTCCTTGTGTATTATCGAACCACTTCAAATACTGGAGCGGTTGTAAATGGCTACAGGCTACACCAACTGTTGCTCTAAAAAGCCAGCTATCGCTGGGGCCCAGCCTGCTCCCCGCCCCCCCACCCCCCGGTCAGCATGCACCCCGTGTGGGCATGGGAGATGCTCCCAGACATGCATGAGCGGCCCAGCCAGTCCACTGTACTGAGGGTGGCTTTCTCTGCCTTCTGGGCCCTGGACCAATGCCTGGAGCTTGGAGCTAGGGTGCTCTGGGCTCCTGCCTCAAGCCTGTCCCCAGCCCATGCTCAATCTAGCTCTAGTAGAAGCCTTTTCCCCAGGGTGTCAGCCTAAGATAAGGGTCCGGTAGAAGGAGTCCTGGAGCAGAGACCACCACGTCCTTCCTTCACCAACCACAAGGGGGCGCTGACCACACCCAGGGCAGGGCTAATGGGCGCTGGGGAGGGAACGGGCTGCAGAGTCTTGTGTTAACTTTCTCTCGGCAAATTCTCTTCTCTGTCACTAGCAATGTTCTGACTGACACACATCTTCCCTAGCAAGGACACTGGCCTCACCCCCTGGCCTGAAGCCACCTTTTTCTTCATGGCTCCCCTCCCAATGGGCTGTGGCTTCTCATAAAAGGATGCTTCTTCCAGAGCATGGATTTGGGGCGGCTAAGCCTACAGGGCCTGCCCTGTTGCCTTCCTCAACCACTGGATGGAAAGATCACTTTGCCTTTTGGGTCTGACCCTGCCGTCTGCCAGAGCCGCCTGGAGCACTCGAGGCTCCTCCTGCGTCCCTGGACATCCCTCTGCCTTGGGTCACAGCCTGCCATCAGCCTGTCCCAAGCCCTTCCTACCCCTTTGATACTAACTCTGAATACCAACCCATGGCTGCCTGGACCTCAGGTTCTCCCTGCTGGCCTGACACTGCACTTGGGAGAGAGGGACTCGGATCTCAGTGGGGGGCCAACCCCAGGGGCTCCCTCTGCTCCCTGCCCCCCATCAGTGTGCCTGCCTGCCCCTCAGCATCCCTCGCCCGCCACCCCGCCCACCCGTCTGCAGGAGCGCGAGGCGGCCAGGCTGATGCAGCGCCCCAGCCTCCTCTACGTACCCTTTCTCATTCCTCCACCAGGTGGGCACGCGTACTCCCCGGTTGATAAGAGGAAGCAGGGTCCGTATCTCTCGCGGGTGCCCGAGCGCGTAAAGGGCAGGCCCTCATCGGGAGTGAGGGCCTGGTCTATGTGGGGGCAGTCTTCGTTCGCCAGCGCGGCCTTCGCCACCTCCCCATTCAGTTTGGAATCTTCAAACATAAGCAGAAGCTATTGAGACACTGAAAACTGTTTAGTGGGGGGGGGAGACAGGCCAGAGGTGGGGCATTGGCAAAGGGCAGCCTGTCCCTGCAGATGGAAGAGTGAGGGGCCATGAAGGGAGCCTTGAGGCTGGGGGTTCCGGCTCACTGAGGCAGCCTACGAGCTGTCCCTGGTGCTGTGAAGGAGGGGCTCCTGGGTTTGCTCAAAGTTTGCAAAAAGATGAGTCGGGGGCCCAGCAAGCGTGGTGCTGGGGGCTGGGCCCAGGGCCCAAAGCTGGGCCGATGAGACACGATGGTGTGGATGCAGACATGGGTAGAGGGCCAGACACAGAGCTCAGGGGGAAGACAGACAGACACACAGAAACACTCCAGTCCAGAGAGGCAGCCTTTTCTGACCCCTCTGCTGCTGACCAGAGCTCGGCTGCCCCCATCCCTACCAGTTCAGGCTTCCCCGGCCCCACCCGGACCCCACCTGTGGACTCTGCCCCACCCCTGTCAAATCACTCACTCCCCGCTGACCACCGCACACACCACCTCTGATTGCACAGCCTGCCCCTCCCCCCCGGGGCTCTGCTCTGGTCACTCTGTATGCTCTGCCCCCCACGAAGACTCGGCCCTGTCTCACAGGCTCCTCTATCCCCCACACAGACCCAGCCGGACCACGCAGCCTGCCCCATGCACCACGCAGACCAGTGCTGGTCACTCGGTCTGCTCTAACCCCCACTCAGACCGAGCTGGTGGCCTCTGCCCTGCTCCGCTCCAAGCAGGCCCGGTCAGCTCGCACAGGCATGACAGGGATGTTTGCATGAGGCGGTGACAGCGAGCCATGGGCTGGGCGGGGTCCCACTCCTCGGTCTCCTTTCAGCAGCCTCCCCCGAGAAGCAGAGCGAATGGATGTGTGAGCACAGCAGCAGCAATGGGTGCAGGTGGGGAAGGCGAGTCTTGGCCTCTGTGGCAGCCTGAGAAGGAGCCTGGGAGGAGGTCTGGGGGCACCTGGGGAGCGGGGCAGGTGCAGCCACAGTGGGGAGCTCGCCCTCTCCCAGGCCCAGGAGCAGCGTGGTGGGAGCCCCTGGAGCTGGCAGAGGGGCTCTGCTGGTCTCGGCCCTGCCCATCACCGCTGGGGACTGAGCCTGCCCCACTCTCTGGGCTCTCAAAGCAGACTGTCCCTGGCCAGGGCGGAGCCGACTCGGGCCCCACAGTGGGCACCTGGGCTTTCTCAAAGACTTCACCTAGGGTGCGAGCCTCCAGGGAAGGCGGGGCACCAACACGAGTGGGACCACGGGAGGGGGGGGGTCTCCGAAAGGCTAAAAGGGGAAAAAAGCTAAAAAGCTGGAAACAGTCTCCTCCTGGTTTGACCCTCTTCCGTGACCCTGTTCACATCGTGGAACTACACGCAGGGGTGACCCTTCTCCGCGGGCACATGCTCGGTGTGCCCGCGGGCAGGGCCACGGCCGTGTGCACGTTGTGTCACTACAAAGAGGCAGTCAGTCAAAAGAGAAATGGACCAATCAGGTTTATTCGTAAAGCAAATCCAAAAAAAAATCCCATCATAATTTTGGAACTTAAAAAAAAAGTCTGTCGTACAAGATGGCAAAGCATTTCACGTACAGTGTGTTTCTCAACAAAACCCAGGGGCTTCACTCCCGGATGTACTCTGAACCAGAAAGGCCAGTCACCAAGGTAACTGTGACAACACATAACTGGGGCTGGGGGCTGCCTAGCACTGGGGGCGTGTCTGCGGGCACACACCTGGGCGCACAGACCCGCCCAGGCCTGCCTCCCACTCTGGCTGGTGCCTGGCTTCCCTCCCTCTCTGGGCTGAGGGAGGAGGCCGGTTGGGGAGAGGGGAGGGAAGTATGAGAAGGAGAACGTGCATGGGGGTGTGGAAGCGGGGCCCATAGCACCTGCACAGATGTTCCTCAAGGGGAAAACAGCAAGCCCTACCAGGCAGCGTCTCCATCCGGGAGGGGCGCCAGGACCTGCTGTCTCTCTGATGGCTGTCGTCTGTCAATAGAGGTAGCTACAGCCTACGGTTCTTGCCCAGGGGTGGGTCAGAGGTAGGTGGTGGAGCCTGAGACCTCTCCTGGGGCTCTGAGTGCTGAGTCCCCACCAATAGCTCTGCCCCACCCCCGTGCCACGCTCCTGGAGCATCCAGCTCCCGCAGCCTTTAAAGGGTCTGATGTTGGGGCTGGTTTTCCCTGCAGGGGACGGGAGCTGGGATCAACCATCAGGGATCCCTAGGTGGATGAGAGCTTCGTACCTTTGCTTCCTAAAGAGACCCTCCCCTGACACACCTGGGCCTGTTTCTTCTACCGACCACGATTTCGAGAGGGCTATCATTTGGAAAGAGTTTAGGTCTTGTTCTGTGAAGAAGCCAGCCTCCCTGGGTCGTTGGCTTATCTGTGCTTTGGGGTGCTGTCAGAAACTGGGAGCATTCTCCCTCCCCAACTTGAGGGGTGGCTGGAAGAGAGAGAAACGGAGGAGGGGCTGACTCTCTAGACCTGTGGAATGCATGAAAAGGGCCAGAGAGCCGGCTCACCCAAGACTCCCCATGCTCCTGCCGTTACCCCGTCCTGTGGATGAGATGGCCCCCAGCAGCCTTGGTTCCCACCTGCTCCCAGACCGCGGGAGCCCTGCCTCCCCGGCCCAGGGCCCCTCCGCCCACTAGGCCTGAGGATTGGCGACGATGAGATGGCAGATGGGCAGTGGCTCACGGAGATGGTTTCCAGGCTTTGAAATGGGCTGAGAGAAATGAGCGTCCGCGAGAGGGTCATTTTTTTTTAAACTTTGGAGCAAGGCGAACCCGGAGTCAGGGCCCTCAGCCAGCAGGGCTGGCTTTTCTGCCCTGGTCTCCAGGCACCACGGATGTACTTACTGTTCAGACCAGCGGCGGCCACCAGGGGCGCACACAGGGCTGGGGCGGGGTGGGGGGTTGCTGGGCATTTCCTTGGGTTTAGCTCCAAGGGGTCTGCCCAGCTGGGGGTTTGGGGGAAAGTCCCAGGATAACTGGGGACAGTCTGGGAGAGACACGAGCAGAGTACAGTCACAAGAACCGGCACAAGTCATGCAACAAAACGAGGAGAGAAAGAGAGAGAAACATGATTAGTGAAGAGAGAGAAAAAGAGAGAATATGAACAACACAGAAAAAGAACACCAGGCCTGGCCCTCAGGGCTGCGCCGTGTTCCCGATGCCTCCCCCTTAGACTACTTGGGGGCCACCAGACCCCACTCGGACCCCAGCTGCCCACCCTGGCCCTGTATCCAGCACGAACTTGGTCAGCTCATGCAGAGGGGCCCTGCCCACACCCGCCCAGTACCCTCTCCCCCCATGGTGTCACTCCCTGCCCCGGGCTAGCGCCGCTCCTGGCACTCTCTCTGCAGCAGCCCAGCAGGCAAAAGGCAAGGGGCCTGGGAGAGGAGCACTTGGGACTCATCTGCTCAGGGCAGAACCTCCCGCCCCCACCCCAAAGCTGCCCAGGAGGCTGCCGTGGCAGCCCCCAGAGTCCGGGGCAGGGTCTTCTCTGGGGCCTCACTGCCGCTCTATGTGCCTGTGGGCAGAAAAGGGGACTTGGCTACCACCCCTCGCCCAGGCCAGCCTCCTGCCTGCCTATGGTGGGACCCCATAGCCCCGCACGTGGCACCCACAGAGGAACGACCCACAGCACAGGAGCAGAGATGGACGAGACACACGGGAATGGACATGGCAGGACAGAGGGTGCACTCGGAGCTGTCCAGAACAGGTGGTCTGGCCCCGCCCCCACCGCCCCTGACTGCAGATGGGACAGGAGCAACTTCTCGTGGGCCATCGGCCTCAGGCAGCCCTCCCCCTGTGAGGTCCTACAACCCCCCAGGGCAGATCCCCCCACATGGAGGCCAGGCCAGCCACGGCACAGCAGAACAGACCAGATCGTCCTCACAGAAAGCATGGACCTGCAGCTGCAGGAGAGAGCAGAGGTAATGGGGATGGGGGGGGGGGCTGCTGGCCTTGCCGGGGTGGGGGCGGTGCCCTCAGAGCCCAGCATGCTGTGCTTGGCCCCAATCCAGGTTCTAAGAGGAAATGGAGAGCCCCAGCTTTCTTCGCTGAGGCCACCTGACTGCCCTGTGGGTGGAGTGAGGCTGGAAGGGGCCTGGGTGCTGCATCTCACCTCCCTCGATCCCTGCAGGGCTGGGTCTCCACCCACATTCGCCTTCCTTGCCTCTGGCCTCCCCCACTCACTCACTGATGCTCCCCAGCCCCACGCCCATCTAGGTGCACAGCTATAAGCAGAAAGGAGGTGGATGGGAAGGGACTCGGGAGGCAGAGATGGGGGATCACACACTCCTCTCAGTAACAGTTAATCCTGGTCTCACACAACCAGCATTTGGTGGAAGGAGTGTTCTGGTGAGGGGTGAAGCTCAGAGAGGGTCTCAGAGCCAAGGTGGATTGGTATGGGCATTAAAACAGCACCAGCAGGGCAAGTGGGTACTTGGGAAGGGAGTGGAGATACAATGTGGGGGCAAGAGGGGGCAGCAGGAGGAGGATCTTGGCATCTGGGCTCCAGGGGAAAGGCTTGGGAGGGCCCAGAATACCTTCTCAGCCATGGAGGCTGCTTGTGCCAGAGCTTTGGGTTCCTGAGACCTGGGGCCAGGCTAAGGAGGCCCCCCCGGGGCAGGGCTGCCGTGGCCCTGGGCCCAGGGGATCCAACAGGAGTGCGTGGGCTTTACAGGCCTGCTGCAGCATGGGAAGAGGGCTTCTGTCCCTGGGACTAGCTGGTGTACATGTCAGAACACACAGGTCTGCACTCCGTGTGTGCGTGCATGTGTGCACGTGCGTGCACACCCTTAGCACATGGAGAATACTGGCTTTGTCTAAGAGTGCAGGCAATCTGTGCCTGACTGGAGTGACCTGGAATCCCTGACAGGCTGGCCTGAGGCACCCAAGCTCGGGCATTAATCCTGAAAGATACAGTGTTGGGGAGGATGTGACAGAACGGCCAAGCGGCACCATGGCGATGCCACGCGGGCTCAGCTTTTTCTGCTGGGGCCTGGAGTAGAGCTGGGGTAGAGTCAGGGCCAGCCCAGACCCTCCCCTGGAGCCCTGGGAACTTTCCTGGCCACGATGGTGGCTCATGAGGTCAAAGAGCTGGCTAATCCACAGCAGAGAGGTGGGACAGGAGCTTTCCACCAGCCAATGCCCAGCTTCCTAAACAGGAGCCATGCCTTGGCCGGCGGAGCCCAGCCCCACCTCAGGCCCCCTATATTCCAGCTTCTGAGACCCCTGCCCACCCCCTGGCCCAGCCTAGGACACTCACCAACTTCCTCTCAGGTGCTTACAGGAATCCCAGGAAAGAGAGGGTATGGGGCCGGGAGAAAGGGCTGGAGAGCCCCCATATGGGCAGAGAGGTGGGCCTTGGGGGTACTGTTTCAGGCAGCGCAGCTGCGGGATGAAGCCAGATCTGGAGTGGGGTGGGGGTGGTTTGGCAGGGAGTGCATCAGCAGGGAGGGTCAGTCACACGCTGGGGGAGGCCACCCAAACCGAGGGAAACTTGCTCATCTGGGGCTGATGTCCTTCACAGACTGAACGCCAGCACTCACTCAGCCTCCCTCACCCCACGCTCCTTCTGAGCTCACTGTGTATCCTTCCCTGGGTCATCTGTTCCCTTGCAATCCCTGTGTCCACAGAATAAGTCGATGGTATTCCATGGGTAGAGGTAGACTATGGGCTTTATATCTTCGGACCAGAGCCCCATGATCAACTTTATGTGCTATGTGCAGGCTCTCATAAAACTGAGAGAGTCCCATAACAAACCACTAGCCATGGAATATTAGAATATATCCCATGGTGACTAGTATTGTTCGCGCCCCCCTCCCCTCCCCCCACCCACCCCCACTGAAGTCACAGGGAAGTGGTTGTACACTGGTTGGGGTGTCATGTATTGCTGCTGCAGTCCCTACCATCAGAAGTGGGGAGAACCCTCGGTGGGTGGTGGTTGCTGGTCTGTAGTGCTTTTGTCTGAGCTGCGGGGGGTGGGGGCCCCGCCCCTAGTCCTTCGCTCACCAGCTGCTTCCATCAGAAGGCCATTGGAAACTCCCACTCAACCATTAACCCAAACAGACAACGTGAAAGCTAGAGTCACTCCAACAGGTTCTAAAGATAAATGCTAAACTCTAGAGTGGTGGCAGAAGATGAGTTGGTTTGGCATGCTATGGGGGAAGTAAGCTTGTTACGGAGGGCGAGAGGCGTCTCCTAGGACGCACCTGGAGCTAGGCAGCCGGAATCAGAGCACGAATTCTACTCAGCTATGGAGACAGGCTCTGCCGGGGGTGAGAATCCTTGCTACTGCCTTTGCAGGGACCCTCCTGCCAGATCCCATGCACCATTTGTGCCGTCTGCACAGCCTGAAGGGAGCCGTGTAAAGACCAAATCAGAAGCTGTCTGCCGGTTTCCAAATCACACCCACCCCCGCCGGGCCGGACACCAGGTCAGCGGCCTGAGTCAGAGACTCACGCTGGACTCCTGCCCACGGAGCTTCAGCTCCCCGGGCTCCTGCTAAGAGTCCTCAGCAACCTCGAGGGCCTTGTCTTCTCTTCAGAACCTCGCGAGACCAGCACGTCAACCGCCTTACCCAGAGCCACCAGTGAGGTTCCTCTAGTGGGCTCTCGCCTGGTGAATTTGGCTGCCCAGCATCTCCCTGGGCCCCCAGGCTCCACGCCTCAAGATTGAGTGCGGGTTCCGGGGTCACCCACGGAACTAAGGAAGCAGTCTGACTGAATCTGGAATCATCGCTACAGGGGGCAAAGGTGAAAGGTCAGATTGACATGCCTCTAAGAGGTTTCCTACCTGCTCTGTTAATTTCTAAAATCTCTTCCTGGGCCAGCGGGCATGTGTCACTCTGAGTACTGTGGTGTGGAGAGTTTACGACAGATTTACAATAATTGGGAGATCCCAGCTGCGGTGGCCGTGGAATATGCTTCTTTTTTTTCTTTGGTAGTTTCTGCTTAGCCATGGCTAAGGAGTAATACATCCCAAAATTGTTCACGATGACGGGCACGGGCATGGCGATGGTCAGCACCCCGGCCAGCGCACACAGCGCTCCCACCAGCATCCCGGACCACGTCTGCGGGTACATGTCTCCGTAGCCCAGTGTTGTCATGGTGACCACGGCCCACCAGAAGCCAATGGGGATGTTCTTAAAGTGGGTGTGCTCACTGGCACTGGGGTCATTGGGCTGCGCCCCTATCCTCTCGGCGTAGTAGATCATGGTGGCGAAGATCAGGACGCCCAGGGCCAGGAAGATGATCAGCAGTAAGAACTCGTTGGTGCTGGCGCGGAGGGTGTGGCCAAGGACACGCAGGCCCACGAAATGGCGGGTCAGCTTGAAGATGCGCAGGATGCGCACGAAGCGGACCACGCGCAGGAAGCCCAGGACGTCCTTGGCCGCCTTCGAGGACAGGCCACTTAGGCCCACCTCCAGGTAGAAGGGGAGGATGGCCACAAAGTCAATGATGTTGAGCGAGTTCTTGATGAACTCGACCTTGTTGGGGCAGAAGACGACACGCATGAGGAACTCGAAGGTGAACCAGACCACGCAGACGCCCTCGATGTAGGTGAGGAAGGCCTCCGTCTCCGCCTCCCGGTAGTAGCGCACCTGCGTGCCGTTCCGGACGTTCTCGATCTCCGTCTTGTTCACGATGGGGTTGAAGCGCTCATGGGTCTCCAGGCAGAAGGTGGTGATGGAGACCAGGATGAAGAAGAGGGAGGCGAAGGCCACATACTGCGGGGCAGAAACACAGAGTGTCAGAGGGGAGGCCCTCCCACCCAGAGCAGAGAAACCTGGGGTACCCTCGTATTGGGTCTAGGCAGAGACCAGGTCAGGGGAAGACATACAGTGACCCCTCCTCCAACACTGGCGCAGCTGACAGGCCACCGTTAAGGAAGCTCGAGGAGTTGAAAGGGATGTGGAATGGACTGCTTTGTTTTCATGAACATGGTTCCATTCTTCCTGGATGTGCAGCTAGACTACATTTCCCAGCCTCCCTTGCGCGAGGGGGGGTCACTCGACCAAATTCGGGCCTGTGGACGTGGTACGAAAGGGGCCTGGTCTGGCTCATAAAACCTTCCTGCTCAGTCTTCCATGCTGTTTCTTTCCCCCACTCTCAGGCAAATGCTGAAGTCCTGCGGCAGGCCCTCGGGGGATGGGGGTGGGGGGTGCACAGAACCACCTGAAAAGAAGAGCCTGCGATTTAATGGTCTTTCTGAAAAGAAAGACCATTAAATACCCTCCTTGAGCTATTGCTTGAGTGGGAAAGACTTTCATTGTGTTAAGTTGCTGTGGTTTGGGGAGCGGTATTGGTTAAAGCATTTAGCCACCCTGACCAATGACTAGCTTGCCGGGGCTGAAGTTGGCAAAGAAACGAGAGGGGGCAGCTATGGTGGAATCAAGCCACATCTCCCCTCTTGCTTCCTTCCTACTCCAGCCTCTTCGCTCTCATTTTTATGAAGCTGTACCTCATTCACGGATTCTTTCAGGTTCTATACTATCTAAACCTACAGAGGACGTTTATCTGCCTCAGGGACTTAGATGACTTTTTTTTTTTTTTTTTTACCTGTTTTCTCTATCCTCCTAGGAACTCATATATCCAGTCTACAAGTGAGTTCCCCAACCTTGGGAATATTTAAGTAGAGATACAGTGTTGCTGGTTTGGGCACCAGGAGGAGAACTGGACCAGATATCCTCCCAAGCACCATGAATTGTAGGGTCTGCTTTTCTTCTCCCGCTGCCTGCCAGCCCCAGGACAGAGGTGCAAGTGGGAGGCAGAAGAAGCTATTGCGGTTCTGGGGCTTTCCGACCTATGTGAGCACCTGCTTCCCTCGGACCCCATCGGCGAGAAGGAAATAACCCAGAATAGCCCAGTCTGTCTAGAACCACCAGCTCTGGCCCTGAGACCCCAGGAAAAGGTTCAGGAGACCTCTGATTTGGTGGCCCCATATGATGACCGCTTGGGCGTCTCGAGCCCCTAGCAACAATGGAAACTCAGGGAAAGAGAATCGAGCAGCTGTCTGAGTTTCAAACCCTCCTGCTCAGACTGAATTCCAGGCAAGCTCTCTCCGTACAGCCTCCAGCTGGGTCCCCTGGAGCTCTAACATACCATGGCCTCCTTTGGCACCGCCCTGTGCAAATGGAACCTGGCTAACCAGCTCTCCTCCAGTGGCCCACCTGGTCATACTTGCCTGCATGGTCCTGCTGCTCCCTTTCCCTCTGGACCCTCCTTCTCTCAGCTTGACCAAGACACCCCATGGCTAGAACAGGGCCATCTTCCTGGAGGCAGCCCTAAGGTACAGTTTGGAACAGGTGGCACCTTCAGTGCACAGAGCTGCTGTCACAGATGACTTTAAGGAGTGCCGCAGTCTCGCCCTGTATCTTCAGCAGGAGGCAGCCGGGTCGCTTCTATCAATTCCTTTAGTTTGCATCAATGCTCCTCCCCACTTGGTTGGGTTGGGGGGAGCAGCATTGGAAGTCCCAGAATAGCCCTGTCTGGGTTGACCATGGCCATGGGACCTGGCATCCAATCTGGAAGGGATCTAGAAAGCAAGAACTCTGTGGACCTTTCAAGTCACATTCTGGGTTGAGGAAAGGGCAGAGGTAAGGGGAAGGGACAAAGTCACCAGCATTTCAGAATGTCGACATAAGAGCAGCTTCTAGGGATTATCAGGTCTAAGACGTTAGGCTACACACTACGGAAGCCTGAGGACTAGAAGCAGGAAGAGAACTGCCCGAGCAACCACTATGGCCTGCTGACAGTCCTGTAGGCTTCAGAGCACTGCGCGATTCTCAAAATGCTATTCTACACTGACAGTCGTGATCCCTATGCATCCTTCTTTCCGTCCACTTATCCCTCCTTTCTTTTATCCATCCATCATCCAGCTACCCATCATCCATCCTTCCTGCCTTCTATCCTCTCGAACCGCCCTTTCATCCACGCATCCATTCGTCCTTTCCCCCTCCCTCCTTCCTTCTTTCCTTCCTTTGTTCCTTCCTCCTTCCCTCCCTCTCTTCCATCCAACATGCGTGCATCCATTCTTTCCTCCCCTCCTCTCCTCTTTTTTCCTCCCTCCCTCCCTTCCTTCCTTCCATCCATCCTTTCTTCCTCTCATTTCTCATCAAGCATCAGGCTATGCCTAGCGCAGAGGGGGTAAGGCCTCAGCCGAGTCCTCAAGGAGCCCCTTGCCCAGCTGAGGGTAAAGGACACACAAAGAGATGAGTCCAGTGCAGTGGACTGAAAAGGTGACCCCCACAGCCCTGAAGTGGGTGAGGTTTGGGCCAGGTGGGGCAGGGTAGAAACTTAAACCAGGTCTTTCAACTCTAGAAACAGGTCTGTAAGGGTCCAGACCGTGCCAGCCTGGGTCACCCCAGAGGCAGACCAGGAAAGCAAAGTGGACTGAAAGAGGCTACCACTTGTGACCCAATTTTATCTGGTGCTTCCCATCACCGAAGCTGCGAGAGCTCTTGGAGGTGAAACGTCCCTGTCCCCTGGGTATTTGTCCCCAGATTCCCTCTGGAGAGCCCCATCTTGCAGGCTGGCATTCACAGCCCACACTCCCAGTGGGAAGGTCGTGCCCCCAGCCATACTCCCTTCTCTGGCCTTTGTGACAGGGAGCCAAGAGCAGGGCCATTGCACCCCTGGGCTCTCAGCCCTGGGCAATGGTGGAAAGCCAGAGGCTGCTTTCCTCCTTGCTGCCCCATCAGCCATGGATGGTATCACCCTCCTAATCTGTCCCACATCTATCCTTGGTCCCCTTTGCTTGTACTGACTCTCCCAACAGGGCCATGGCCATCAAAGCTAACAAGTTTTAGGCTTCAGTCTCAGCCCCCAGTCCAGCCTCCACACCAGAGGGAGCAGCCGGCTGGAGCCCTGGCTCTGCATGCCACCCGACCGTGCCACCCCCAGAGGGAAGCCCCGACTCCTCGGCCTGGCGGTCTCTGTGCCCTGGCCTCGCTGGCTTCCTTACGTGAGCCCACCGTTCCTGCCACACGCAACTCTCTGCCATCTCTGACGCCCCACCTCCGTGCCCCTCACTGCCACGTCCTCCCACCTGTTGCTCCTTCCATCGGAGAGTGTTCCTGCCCATCTTTCTCTGGAAGAGCACAGCACCCTTCGGCACCCCACTAAGTAGCCCTTCTTCTCGAACATGTTCTCCAGGGGAGGCTCCTCTTGGCAGCAAATGAAGGCCTGCTCAAGAAGCCTCTAACTTCATCCTGGGAGGCAGCGAGCCTCTGGCTCATTAGTGCTCAGGGGAGGCTCATGGGAACAGCCTAGACAGGGCACCGATGTCCCAGGGGCCTTCTCGCTCCCTGGTGGCCCCACAGGCCCCAAGAGCTTTCATCCCATGTGCCCTCCTCACGGGATAGGCCTTGATGGGGAAATGAGGCTCAGAAAGAGGTCAGGTCTTATAAAAATTAGGGTAGAAAAAAGTCCTTAGTTCTCAGCCACCAGTGGGGATCCTGTCTAGATTCTCTCCTCTCTGGGCCTCAGAGCCAAAGGAGTGAGGGTGGGGGTGGGCAGCAGCAGCCGGGCCTCAGGTCAGACACTAGGACTTTTTCCCCAGGGAAGCCAGAGAGGTGGAAGCCGGGCCTCCTGCCCTGTCCAGCTTCCAGGTGCTTTCTTTCTGACCTTTGCTGCCAGCAGCTTGGTCCTTTGTCACAGGCAGAGCCCCAGCAACACTTGGGTCCAAGTGGGCCCTCGGGAGGACTGTGGAGAAAGGTGTCCCTGGCTTGCTCAGACTGCCACATTCTCTTAAGTCTGGAGACTAGCAGGTCAGCCACGGTGCACAGTCAAAGCCAGAGCTCACATCCAGATGAGTCTGAGGCTCCCTTCTGTCCGGCCTCAGGGCATGTAAGCACAGGAAGGAGAGAACAGGAAGCTACTCAAGCTAAGGACCCATTCTGTACCCTTAATCCTCATACCCCCTGGTCAGACAGGTGGTTGTAACCCCACTGTGCCAAAATACCCAGGTACGGACACGTTCAAGGACTAAACCAAGGGTTGAAAGCTAGTGATGAAGCAGAGGCTTGGACCTAAATCTGTGTAGTTCTAGAGCCTGAGCTCTTTCCACCACTAGAGCAGCCACAGCACGTGGGGGAAGAAACACCACTCTGAGCCTTGGGGGGCCGCCCCTGATTGTGTCTGAATGCTTCGTCTTGGAGCTCGACACCTTCAGCCCGGACGAGCTGAGAGCAGGCTACGCCTGTACCCAGTGAGGGAAAGAGCTGGGATGCCTAAATCCATGGGCTGGAGCCCAGCCAATGCCTCAATGGTTCTGGGGCCTCTCGGCCCAGGACTTGGTAGTGCCTGGGCCACAGCAGCCCAGGGTGTGCGGCCGCGCCTTGCTCGGGGAGTCAGTGCTAATGGTACAGCCTGCATCCCTACCTGGCCCAGTTCCTTGAACGCCCAGAGAGGGTGGGGTTGGAAGATGATCTCCACTTGTTCAAGAAGCTCAGGCAGAGGGAAGCGGGGGACATGTGTGAGGAGGGGAGGACCTGGGGTCAGCCGGATGCGGACAGGTAGGGCATCCCTACTGTGGGAAGGGCAGGAGCTGTGCTCCGTGGGAGCTGCCTGCCTCCCAATCCCCAGTCACCAGAGGACATGGACCTCAGAGGCCGCAGACACACAACTACCCAGAGTACACACCTCACCCATTACCTAAGCACGTACATGTGCATGCATGTGGCCACACGAACTACAGCACAGTGTCCCGACCACACACAGAGAACAC